ATACGAACTCTTCAGGGTGTTTGGGTGTCATTTTGAGGACAGTGCAAAATATTCGGAAGGAGATGAATCTAATGGTAATTACGAAGGTACGGCAACTCGGAAAACTCATTCTGGTAAGAAAAGAATTCCCGAATTTCTTGGTGAGGGACTCAGACAAAGAGGTAGTGTTTCCGCGGGTCAAGAGGATGGTTGCTGGAAGACTCTATGTCTGGGTACAGGACTCTGCACCATGCCACACAAGCAGGAGAATCCAGTCATGGCTGTCAGATAGGTTCTGCGACCACATCACTCCTTACATCTGGCCACCTAACTCCCCAGACTGCAACCCCTTTGATTATAATGTGAAGGACGCAGTTGAGTGAGAGAGAAACAAGACTCCTTGTAACACCAAAGATGAACTGAAATCAAGGATTATGGCAACATTCACCAACTTAAACAAGGAGACCGTCCAGAAGAGATGCAGGAGATTCTGGAGGCCGTAGTTGAAGTCAATGGTGATTTTATTGAACAAATTTATTTTTTATATCTGTGAAAATGAGATGTCAGTTTTATTTTTGCGTCATTTATAAGATATTTTATCCATCTCACCCTATATATATATATATATATATATATATATATATATATATATATATATATTATATATATAAAGGTTCACCAAGTTAAACAAAGAGACCGTCCAGAAGAATTGCAGGAGGTTCTGAGGTTGTCTGGAGGCCGTGGTTGAAGCCAATGCCGATTTTATTGAATAAATTTACTATTTATTACTTTTATGTAATTTTCGTAATTATATCTGTTATAATTAGATGTCAGTGTTATTTTCATTTTTGCGCAATTTAGACGACAATTTATCTATCGCACCACGCAAAAATTCCATTAAACTATTTTGCTTCTTTATCGTTTCATATGTTGTTATATCGGACCAGTTAATGTAAATAGTGCCTAAAAATAAGATTATTTGTCACGCATTATACCTGAATGGCAAATGGCACGCTTAGAGTATACTTATTCGCAGTCAAACATCCAAATAACCTTGAACGATTATGGCAGAAACAGAGAAATGTCATGATTTCCCTGCAAACCCTCTACTCTGAAATTTTAATAAAAACGTTAATGTGTGGCAAATTGTATTACGCCATTTGCACGTCCATTGACAGCGAGTTCTTTAATGTCACATTTAATCGAATCAACAGTGATAGGGCCGTAAAAAGAAATGAGCAGCGGTAAGTGACAATAATTTACAATCATGGTAACCATTCGTTTGAGCAATGATAGCCATTTTAGCAACATAACAACAGTTGCCGTCACGTGAGAGGAAAGAAAAAAAAAGAAAAAAAAACAAGGGCCAACGTTATCGAAATGGAAGATTATAAACCTCTTAGTTGTAAAATAAATGACTCCGAACACAGTATCCTTTTAAAAGTCTTTTCCTTTCAAACTATTTTTATTCAAATCAAGTGCAAAATATTTTCGCCGCAGAGCCATCCCCCTAATGTTGAAACGATGTTAACACGTATATCTTTGACAGCTAAACTCTTTTCTATAGGTACTTTGAACAGGTAGATGATAGTCTACCCGGAAAGAAACAATGCAATTATTAATAAGAAGAGTTGAAATGAATGCATGCAAGATTTCACAGTTCTAGCATCCCTCCTTCATAGCCAGTCTATGAACTTTTCAGTCCATCGTCGTATCTGGAAAGAAACAATGCAATTATTAATAAAAAGAGTTGAAATGAATGCATGCAAGATTTCACAGTTCTAGCATCCCTCCTTCATAGCCAGTCTATGAACTTTTCAGCCCATCGTCGTATCTGGAAAGAAACAATGAAATTATTAATAAAAAGAGTTGAAATTACTGCATGCAAGATTTCACAGTTCTAGCATCACTCCTTCATAACCAGCCTATGACATTTTCAGCCCAGCCTCATATCAGGAAAGAAACAATGAAATTTTTAATAAGAGGAATGGAAATTAATGCAAGCAAGATTTCACATGAACTTTTTTCAGCTGACCCTCGTACTTGGAAAGAAACAGTTGAACTCCGGAAGTAGAGCAATCTTCTTTCCAAAGTATCGAATAGTAATACTTTTTTGTCGACAAATTTCAAATGAAGAATTATTATTATTTTAAAGGAGTAAATAAGTTCGCTTATCACCAGGCCCTTAATCCTTCCGTGTTTATTAATCAGAAGTAAAGGTTTATACCTTGTTTTCTGTTTGGAATATTGTTTATCGGTTCCTTTCTTTCTTCCATGATTGAACTAGTACTATTATCAAACATTGAAAAGAAATTACAAGATCTCCTACAGAAGCTAGCAACGGAGAGTGTGAAGAAGGGACTAAGCATAAACTACAAAAAAACAGAAAGCATAGTCATCAATAAAAGGATGACCCCGAAATACGATTTGCAGGTCAGGAACACTAGAATGAAGCAGACGCGGAAGTTTAAATATCTGGAAAGCGTTTTAACAGAGGACGGTAAGTGTGACACTGAGATCCGAAGATGGATTGGGATGGCCAATGACGCATTTCAAAAGCTGGGCAGAGTATTGCGAGACAGGAGGACTTCTTTGGTAACAAAGAAAAGAAAACTGAGTTGTTACGTGACATCTGTCCTTATTTATGGCAGCGAATGTTGGACGATTTCCTCAAAGATGAAGAAGAGACTCGAAGCGACGGAGATGTGATTCTACAGAAGGATGCTAAGGATATCATGCACCCCAACCTGTGAGCAACGATGGGATCTTAGAGAGGCTGTAAATAAGGAGGAGGCAGCTGAAGTTCATGAGAAACATAATGAGGAAGGAGGGCCTGGAGAATCTGATACTCACGAGTCGAATAGAGGGAAAGAGAGACAAGGGAAAGTAGTGCGCGACGTTCCTGGCGAGCTTGAGCAGGTGGATGGCAGAACGTGGTCTGGAGGAGGAAGCAGAGGAAAGGACCTTGTTGAGAGCTGCAAGGGATAGAGAGAGATGGAGAGCCATGATCGACCACGTCCTGAAAGGACACGGCACAGAAAAAAAATCTTAACTCTTTGATGATCTGACTGATCTGGGGTTGTGAATTTTAATTATGAATTTCATTTAATTAGGGTCACAGAGGCTTTGAACACACACACACACACACACACACACACACACACACACACACACACACACACACACATATATATATATGAAGAAATATAATTTCATCTTGTGCTATATGGGATAAAGTGTTCAATATCAGAGACAGAGCGTGTGTAAATATAAAAGTGATCTTTGAAATCAAAACTTAGAGGCGACAGGTTATTTCAATCTAGACGCAATCGTCAGGCCACGTGTGTTTTTTTTTCTCGGCTATTTATATATACGGGTCAGTGTTGCATTGTGGGTAGTCTCTTTGGCGGATATTTTGCCGGAAGTTGTTTGTTTATTTATTTATTTGGGTTAATTTATTTTGGTTGTTTTTATTTATTTTATTTTTAATTTTTATTTTTTAATTTTTATTTCTTATCTTATATATATATATATATATATATATATATATATATATATATATATATATATATATATTTTAATCAGTGTTTTATTAACGTAGTAATTTGTTTATATCGCTTATTTAATAGCTTTGTTTTGATTTGGGGAGATAATTAAAGCTATTTATTCAATTTTGGGGTTGATTGGTGTAGTTTATTCTAACTATTATTTTGGCGGGAGCAGTATTTAATTTGTTTATTACTTCATTTATTTATTTGGTTTGATTATCTTTACTTGTTTATTCTAACGGTTAATTTATCGGGAGCTGTTTGTTAGTTTCTTTATTTATTTAGATTAATTTTATGTTATATATATATATATATATATATATATATATATATATATATATATATATATATAAAGTTACCACCTTTACGTATTCTTAGAAGTTAATTTGTTTTATTAGACAATAACAGAGCGCGTTTCATGCGCATTTACAAAATAATCCACATTTATCAATTAGATTAATTTCTTGTCTTAGCAAATCAGCACTGAACATAATCTTCGATGAGGTTGAAAGTACTTGTGAAATTTTAAAAAAGTATGTCGCCTTTCTTAATGAATTTAATAGCAACATTAAGAAGATGATCAGAGAATTCAAGAGGATTAGAATAAAAATAGATATACATGCATATGTAGATTATTCAAATAAACATGCTTGAATGAAAATATGCAGCCTACACACACACACACACACACACACACACACACATATATATATATATATATATATATATATATATATATGCTATCTATTCGATTCGTGGATTAGAAATGGACAAAATATAAATGCATATATGCAGCAACGCTTTCACAGTAATGGCTGTGTTCTTATGTGTCGTTCTGAATATGTGCGCATCGATATATATATATATATATATATATATATATATATGTGTGTGTGTGTGCGCGCGTGTGTGTATCAGTAAAGTGTTTGAAGAGTGGGTTGACAATCGGCAGTTAAATAGGATTTAGTAGAACGAATTTCCAATCTTTCAGACACGTGGCAGAAAAGAAAGTAAAAAATAAAAAAAAAAATCAGGGAAAAGAATAAGCAAAGAAAATTTGGCAGGAGTGGGAGGGTTATATGAACGAAATAAAATTTAGAAAATAAAATAAAACCTGAAAGATGAAAATAAACAGAACTAACGCCGAACTACACACCAACGCGCCAAAAAACAACAAAAAAAAAATATCTAAAATCTCTGGAAAATAAACCAAAACCCAAATGCCTGCCTATTTTGTGTGTAGCCTTCACAACCGGTATCTGCATTGCAAGAAAAAGCTATGAAGAAGAAGATGAAGGAGGAGAAAGAAAACAAGAAGAAGAAGAAGAATTAAAAAATTTTCAAAAATATATAAACTAAAATTAAACGCCAAAAAGCAAAGCTTAGTTTTAAAAAAATATATAGATAAAGTAAATTGTGTAAATAAAACAAAAGAACAGTCTCAACTCCCCATAAAAAAAGCAGCCAATCTTAATGTCTGCGTCGGTCTTTGCTCAGCGTTCATTTGTATGCAGAGTAGGTCGCAAGGCGCGAATTGATTATAGAGGCAACTTGTGTATTTCCAAACAGGCAAATGGCGGAGGGAAAAACGAAATAGACGACATTTTTCGTATCGTTTATTTCTCTCTTAGTCACTTTGAGAAATTCGAGATGGTAAGAACAATGGCCGACCTCTTCCCTCCTTCATTCCATCAGTAAAAGAAAACTTTTTTTTTTCATCGCAATTCAGTTGGAGTTTTATGGGACTTTCTATAAATTCCTGCCCATTGCAGCATTTTCTTGGTTGTAAACATAGACACATTTAGTTTGAAGACAGATGGAGCAGAAAATGAGAGAATGAGTGAGAGGGAGATTCACACACACACACACACACACACACACACACACACACACACACACACACACACACACAAAGTAGAAGACAGTCAGAGAGAGCTGAGATACGAATTATAATGTTTATTTTTTTTAAAATACCGTCATCTTGAAGACGTAAGTGAATGTGCATATGTGAATTTTCATAACCTCCTAGAAAAATACGAAATAGTTTCCCGTTGCCTCACCTAAAATTTTTTTTTTATTCAGAATTTTCTTTCTTTAAGGTGGGTTGCCAGAAAATACCTATGTCTATACTTTAGATTCTTTTGTAAACCAAACCTATATCGACATACTTGACTATTGTGGAAACCAAAGGAGACCTATCAGTATCTGTGTATATTTCTGAGATGAGGTATTATGTAAACTATTTACATTATTCGGTCTATTGTCCCCATCTTTGTCGCCTCAAGGACACATGGCACAGTGGATAAAGGCGTTGGTTAGATCCAGCGACAGGGTCCAAATAGTGTGAGTTCAATACCTGGTTAAGGCGGAGGAGAACTTGGAGAGAGGAATTAACAGGAGATAACTGATATCCATTAAACATGGCACGTGGAACTAGAACAGTCTACCCTAATGAGTGAAATAAGGGGTGCAGTTCGATATTCCAACCACCTGAAGAAGGCCGGAGAGTACAACGGCCGAAACGTTGTAATAAATATGGCGACAAAGATGAGGACAATAGTACGAATAATGTAAATAGTATACAAAGGAGACCTATGTCTACTTTTTGGACTCTTTTGAGAACCAAATCTCTATTGACATTCTTGACTATTGTGGAAACCAAAGAAGACTTGTGTCTAATTTTTGTACTCTTTTTGCAAACCAAACATATGGCGACATTCGTGACTATTGTGGAAACCAAAGAAAACCTATGTCTAACTTTTGTACTCTTTTGCAACCAAACATATGGCGACATTCGTGACTATTGTGGAAACCAAAGGAGACCTATGGCTACCTTTTAGACTCTTTTACAAACCAAACATATGTCGATATACTTGACTCTTGTGAAAAGTAAAGCAAATCTATGTCTACCTTTTAACTCTTTTACAAACCAAACCTATGCTGACATATTTTTATACTCTTGGAAAGTAAGCATCATTTTATCTATTACTCTACGACAAAATTCGGCATGAGATCACCTGGAATATTTCCATATGCCGTAAAAGAATGTAAAGAAAACCCAATCCAACTGCCTGTCTGCAGAAGCAGGAGAGTGAATCTGCCGAAACATAATGATCAGTATAACAAAGAGGATTATACTTGTTTATATATATATATATATATATATATATATATATATATATATATATATATATAAATATTAAAGACATTTTTTATGTTTAACGTTGTCATTCATAAAATGTCATTAATAAGTGGATTGTCGGACCTTGTCCATTTCCATTTCTTAATATATATATATATATAAATTACTATGTTTAATTGAAAATGTCTAGATAATATGACGGACAAATATTTAAAATTATTATCAGCTGGATTATTTTACCCCAATTTTCGGAAATATTTTTAGCGTCCGATTTCAGGAAAATCATTTTTTACTAACTTTCCAGTTTTTTTTATATTTTTTCTTACCACAGATTTCCAACAGGCCATCTTTGTTTTTTTAGGTTTTTTTCTTCTGCTTCCATTTTCTTTCACTCTTTGGACTCTTTGGTATTTTCAAAAAAAAAAAAAAAAAAAAAAAAAAAAAAAAAAAGGGAATATGATTCCTGCCTCCCTCGATTCTCACCCTTATTTGCAGCCTCACCAACCTTCTACCTTCCCCACCCATCTCTGAAGTCCATTCTTTTTATAATTTGGACACACGCAGTTTTTTACTTAAAATATTTCACTTTTTCTCCTTCATACCCCCCCCCCGCTCTCCGCCGACACCAAATTGGGGATTTTTATTTTCACCATTCTTATTCTTATTTTTCTTCTCCCCACCTCCATTTTTCCTCACCCCCTTTTTTTCCCTCATTTTTTTTTTTTTCGGGATTTTGTTTATGTTTTCAATTCTTTCATTTTAGAAAGATAAAAGGTTATTTACAGCGGTTATTTGCATTCATTTGCTTTCGTCATCTTTTTCACTTCCTCCTCCCTAAATCTTTCTTACTTTCATTATTTCCTTTTTCATTTTATCTCTTTATCTCAATTCGTGCTTTCCTTTCCTTTCCTTTTCTTTTTCTTTTCTTTTCTTTTCTTTCCTTTCTTTCTTTCTTTCTTTCTTTCTTTCTTTCTTTCATTCATTCTTTCTTTCTTTGTTTTTATTTCAATTCTTGCTTTCATTTTTCTTTCTTTTTGTTTGTTTAATTTACATTCTTTACTTCTTTCTTTTTTCTTTCTTTCTTTCATTCATTCTTTCTTTCGTTTTCTTTTTCTTTGTTTCATTCTTTCTCTCTTTCTTTTTTACTCCCTATCTTTCTTTCTTTGTTTTTATTTCAATTCTTGCTTTCATTTTCTTTTTGTTTGTTTGATTTTCATTCTTTCTTTCTTTTTTCTTTTTCTTTCTTTCCTTATATCTTTCTTTCTTTCCTTCCTTTTTCATTTGTTTCATTCTTTCTTTTTTATTCCCTTTCTTTCTTTCTTTCTTTCTTTCTTTCTTTCTTTCTTTCTTTCTGTCTTTATTTATTTATTTATTTATTTAATTAATTAATTAATTCTTACTCCCTCCTACTCTTCCTTCCTTCCTTCCTTCCTTCCTTCCTTCCTTCCTTTCTTTCTTTCTTTCTTTCTTTCTTTCTTTCTTTCTTTCTTTCTTTCAATTCTTGCTTTCATTTTGTTTCTTTTTGTTTGTTTGATATTGATTTTTTCCTCCCTTTTTTCTTTCTTTCTTTCTTACCTTGATCTCTTTTCTTTCTTTCTTTCTTTCTTTCTTTCTTTCTTTCTTACCTTGATCTCTCTTCTTTCTTTCTTTCTTTCTTTCTTTCTTTCTTTCTTTCTTTCTTTCTTTCTTTCTTTCTTTCTTACCTTGCTCTCTTTTCTTTCTTTCTTTGCTTTTAGCTTTCTTTCTTTCTTTCTTTCTTTCTTTCTTTCTTTCTTTATTTATTTATTTATTTATTTATTTATTGAATTCTTTCTTACTCCCTCCATTTCTTTCTTTCTTTCTTTCTTTCTTTCTTTCTTTCTTTCTTTTTTCTTTCTTTCTTTCTTACCTTAATCTCTTTTTCTTTCTTTCTTTCTTTCTTTCTTTCTTTCTTTCTTTCTTTCTTTCTTTCTTTCTTTTCTTTCTTTCTTTTTCTTTCTCATGGATTTCTTCATTCTTTCATTTTATCACAATTTTCCCCCATATTTTTATTTTTCTATCTTGCCTCCATTTTTTTTTGTATGTTCCTTTCTTTCTTTTCATCTCTTCTTCCTTGATTTTTATCTCAATCCTTCCCATCTTCTTCCTTTTCTTCTTTCTCCAAACCCCCATTCACCATTTTCTTTATATTCTCAAAAATGACTGCTGTTTCATATTCAGTAATTCTTCGCTGATGATGGAATTTACAGATGCATTTTTCCATTCCCACTTTGAATTTTTTACTTTTTTGGCAATATTAGTTAAAAGCATTTTATTTCGAAAAAGGCGCTTCATGATGCGAAGCCATTTCGGAAAGAATGACCCCGATGAACCCATTTCATGGATCTTATGTGTGTTGAAGAGGACAGCTATCGGCTGA